ATATTTTAAATATTATTTTCTTTACAATTTCTCTTTTTATATTTAAAGATGTATAATTTATATATTGTCTTTTGTGTTTTTGTTGGCACATATTGTTAAGACTTAACATATTCGTTTAAAATTTCTCCTCCCATTTTGACAAATTTTTTCTTGAAACTTCACAATTATTCTTTTTTTCATTTTCTTATCACATAAATAAAGTACGAAGTTTTTTTTCCCATGCATTTGTGATTGTTTTCATAAAATTAATTCAAACCATGAAATTTATAACTTATCGTCAGTGTTTATAGCACAAGTTCTTTAGACTGATTATCGTTGCTGTTCTTCAAACCTTGTGCTTATGTTGTACGAAAAATACACCATGAATTGCAAATACTACGATTTGATTAACACGTGTGATTTGGAAAAAATATTTGAAGGTTTCATCATTTTTAAAAACAAAGTTGATGTGTCTGAAGAATTAAATGGCGCTAATTCTAAAGAGAATCGGTGTCACAAACACAAATGTTTACCCATAAATTCCATTTTTTGCATTTTTGATGTATAAATTTTGGTGAAAGACCTGTAAACCGTCATAGGAAAAAAAAACTAAAGAGCTTTGCATTTTGATTCACAGATAGAAAAAGGCAAAGGAAGGATTGTAAACTTTCAAAAAGTTAAAAAGGGCAAAGGAACATTTGTGAAATTTTAAGAAAGAACTTGGAAATATAGGAGGACTAAGTTTTGATTGGATTTATTTGACTAAAGTCAAAATGACATTTCTCTCCGCCAATTTATTCTTCTCTTATAACTTTTATTTTGTTTTGATCCTTCATCTTTCTTGTTTCTGCCCTTCTTTCTCCCTTTATAACGTTGGTCAAATTTTCAGAACACTTGCACCTTATTTTCTTTTCTTTCTCCTCCTCTTTTCCATTCCTTTTCTATAATGATATATTTTAACTTTTGACCTGTTCGTGAATCGTTTTGATTTAAGGGGTGTTTGGTTTTTTTCTCTAAAATACTTTTACATAAATCAAAATAAAATTCTTTTCACATACTTACTTTGTATACTGTAAAATCACTTTTAAAGTTTTGGTTTCTATTTAAACACCCCCACTCTATGAAATACTACAAAACAACTCATTATTCATGTTGGTTGACAGCTAGGCCATTTAGTCTAGTTCGGTTTGACCTCAACAATGCTTCATATTATGTATTTTATATTGATGTTGATTAATTAATATCAAATTAAATTTATACAAAATTCAAATTTTTATGAAACAAAATCAAATAAATAAACTGAGTATATGAAAAGGTAAATAAAGCAGGATAAGATTTTTCATAAGATCATTTGTGATAAGATTTTTTAATATATCTTATTTGATTGTTAATTAGTATTTTAAATTTACCAGGACGCTTGTACTTGTCACAAGTTAAAAACTCCACTTGTTTATTAAAAAGAACTCCACTTGTAACATTTAAATAGGGCTATTGTCTTTATAAATACAAATTTATGACACTTATCCATAAGTTTAGAGCTTACTAATTTATTAATTTATAAGTATAAGGTAAAAATGACTATAAACATATTTTTACATCAAATTTACTAATGAATAAAACATTTAAATTATATATGGGTTATTACCATAGTGAATTAATGAAGCTTGCTGTTATTGGTGGAGAGTCGTTAAATATACTTGAGAGCTGGGTTGAGGTATTGTTTGGGACATCATTGATCATCAAGAGAAATATAGAAGAGTGTGCGATTGCCAAAATCCATGTGCTCAAATGGGTACTGCCCATATCACAAGGTAATTGTTTATCACGTGTATTTTATTGAATTTATTTGGTTATCAAATTATTTAATGACATGATTATTAGGTCTTGTTTTAAAAAATTACATTAATATTTGATAATAAATTTAAAACTAATTGTTGTTAATATTTTTCTCTTTTTCAAGGAAAGATAAAGTTGGGTGTTTAGGTGCATGCAAATGCGAAAGTTGATATAATGGCCACGGCAATAAAAATACTAAGAATTTTTTGTGCAAACAAAGTACTTATTTATATGTTTAAAGATTGTTATGTTTTTTAGTAATTTCTATCATTTACATTAAAATAGGTTCGGAAGGACAACTCAATAACACCATAGAGAGCTTTTGGAGCCAATGCAAGCCCGTCATATCAATACACGAATTGATGAAACAACATTTGATATGTACTTCTTAAGGAAGAGGATACTCTCAGTGTCCCTCGGCGTCCAAATTATGGTCATCTGATCATGATGTAACATATTATTGTGTTATTAAAAATTAAAAATAAGTTTGATTTATGTTGTAAAAATTTTTACCAGCTTTGATTTTTTTTTAAATATTTTTTTATTATGGAATATCCAATTTTTTACACCTAGCTTATTTCAATTAGAGAATTTATGAGAGACCCCAATAAATTTTACAGTTAAAATAAGTACTTCTAGTTCTATTTATAAAGTATTTTTAACATGTTTTATACAAACAAACAAAAAAACCTTAACCTGTATTAACTCTTCGTTAAAATATAGTAACTTTTTCATTTTATCTCTATTTAATATGTACACCTTTTAAAAAAACTATATACACTATAATAACTGAATAATAATATAGTATGTTCATGATAAAAATTTAATAAAATGATTTATAAATAGAAATATAAAAAAATCTTCTCTCTATCCTATAAATAGGACGAGAGGAGTAGATCCAAGAATTTAGATGGTCCACTCCAAAAAAAATTGTCAATTTTATTTTTAATTTTTAATAGTATGATGATGTGGCATATTATGAGCTCTTAAATCAATCTGCACGCTGAGAGGATCCGGACCCACTTTTTAAACAAAATCTCTGAGTAATTACAACTGTTTCTTATTGGGGATCATTGTAAGTGCGGCTACATCATACAATATTGTATTTCATGCTATTTATGATTGTTATTTTAATTTATATGTTTTTTTAATATAAATTTTATTTAATTTGATGGGTCATTGCATCCTCATTTTTTTAATAAAAAAAGCAAACGAAAAGAAATCTTAAACTTGAAAAAGAAGAAATTATAAAAGACCAAATTATTTATCTTTTAAATAAAAATTGACTAACCCGTCTTCTTCTTAAAAAGTATACTGCATGTTAAGAATATAGATACATTTCTTTGAATTTATCTTCTTTACATGTACAAAAAGCAGGGAGAACTACTGAGGATGTAACCATTAAGAACGTCCCCATGGACTTGAACATCATTTTTTTTTTACTCATAAAAATGATTCAAATATCCATATATAACTTTCGACTAGAACTGGTAACTCGGACTCAACTAGATGAGTATTTCTACCCACATCTAAAATATTTATATTTTAGCATTTAATATTTTAGGTATCATTTTCCTGTTCAATTTTTCTTTTAATATTTAAAAATGTATAATTTGTATATTGTCTTTTGTGTCTTTTGGCACATATCGTTAAAAGCTGACATTATTTCTTGAAATATCACAATTATTATTTTTCATTCTCTTATCTCATAATTTTTTTTTTTGATACAAAAATTTTTGGAAATGGGTTGGGCTCACCCACGATTCAAGGGCAGGGCGAAATCTCCCTTCCTCCTAGGTCATACCAATGTTGGGCAGGGCGAGCCGTCAATTACTCTCAGGCGTTTACCTAGGCACCTAGTAGCTAGGATGTCTCCCCAAGCGCCGCGACTGAAACCACAACAAAGTGATACTCCCCAGGGATCGAACACATGCCAACTTGATCATATGTCTCACCCTTTCACCAACTGAACCCACGGATGATGGGTTCTTATCTCATAAATATCCCATAACATATTCATTTAAAATTTCTCCTCCCATTTTCACAGTTATTATTCCTTTTCATTTTCTTATCTCGCGAGTATGAAGTTTTTCCATGCATTTTGTGATTATTTAGATAAAATTGATTCAAACAGTGGAATTTATAACTCATCTTGATTCTTTCTTGCACAAGTTCTTTATACTTATATCATCATTAGGTTCTCCAAACATCTTGTGCATATATTGTTGCAAAAATACACAATGAGTTTTAAATGCTAGAATTCGATCAATTAACATATTTTGAAAGAATACTCGAAAATTTCTTAAGTAGGGGGGAAAAAAGGTGATGTCCGAAGAATTAAATGACGCTAATTCTAAAGAATTTATGTAACAAACACACATGATTGCCTATAAATTCCGTTATTTGACATACAAATTTTGGTGAAAGGCCTGTAAATCATCATAGGGAAAAAAAAAAAGGTCGGTCCCGCTTCATACGCAGTATTGATTTTTGATGGAATGGAAATAGTAGGGGTGATGGAATTACAGATGAGGCTTTAATTTCATGTTTGGTATCAAGTAATACGTGAAGGGAACGCATGCATTTATTTTATTTTTATTTTATAATAAGATATATATATATATATATATATATATATATAAAGATTAAAAGGCTATTAATACAATACTTCTTGGTGTTTTAGAGCTTGGGACTCCAGCCTCATACGCACCTGTGAATGTTAGGCCACATGATCATTTTTTCCAAAACCATAAACACACTAAATGTTGTCTGATTTTACAACAAAACATACATTAAAATAAATTAAAATAGTTATCATCAAAAATTGAATTTGCCTATAATAATTAAGGCGAGTGAAAAATATTTAACATTTTTTGTTATGAATTAATATATTGTGATTAAAATAATTTTAAAAAATATTTTCATTTAACTTAGATTTTACAATACTCAAATCTTCTATTCTAATTGTAATAGCATCTAGATTACATTCACAGAGTAATTGGGACCGTAATGCAAATCTTTCTTCAAATAAATAGGAAGAATTATATTTGAGGACTAATTCTTAAAATCATTCTGAATAACCTTTTAGCAGAAAATTTATCATTGACAGCGACACTTCCATATTAGTAATCAATTCTAGGCGTTTTGCATATTGACATGCCTCTACAATGAATAGAAGATATAGATCAAGCATCAAATTGATATTCATTCCTATTTTTGTTTAAACAAGGTTAACATGTTCAGATTCAGTCTGCAAAATGAAGGACAAAATGAAGGACCAGTGGAAAAAAAATGCTTTCAACAAAGAAGGACATCAAGGAGGAAAAAAAAGATTCAAGTTTGCCAAGAACCATTATCATTGAAACCTGCAGTCAAAGAGGAAATATATAAGGGCTTGTAGCAAGCAAAGTATTACAAACTACCAAGAAACAACAGAAATACTTTACAATGAATCTCATGATGTACACTTGAATATACTTTACAAACTTTTCAAATATTACTAAAATTATAGGACGTTTGAGTTTGAGCACAAATGATCTACTGTGCAGAGGATCAATGGTGCTCATGGAAACTTTGTGGAAAAAAATATATATAACTTTTCAAAGTCTCCTGCTGTGCATACGCAAGAATGATATGGGGGAAAAAAAATGATCTGCGGTATAGTACTCCCTTTGATGCTAAATGTAGAATCCATTTTAATTTACGATACAAAATGAGTCCTACATTTTGGACCAGAGGAGTATTAAGTATGCTCTGTACAGTAGCATGAATAGATTCAGTGATACAACAGACAATAGAAAACAATCACTCTGCATAAAAATGATATGGAAATAAGTCGCAAATGTGTATTGCATGAAAAGTTGACTTGTATGCTTAGCTTCTTCAAAAATGAACTTTAATCAACTTTGCCTGTAATTTGAGTAATTTAACCTGCTAATTCATATCCTTCAGTGGTGCGCTAAATTCAATGCACAAGACAACCCTGAATCAACAGAAAATCCCTTGTATAACTACAAACCGATCCGTTCTTAATATTACTGTTGAATGGTTAAAAGAATATGCAAACAAGAAATAATTCCGTTTGAATTACGCCCCCTTCATCTGAAATCTACATATGCAAACTTTCCCAGATGTGAAATGAACACATGCACAACTAAGAATTTTATTCAATCCAAATCAGAAAGACAGGCATCCGGAGGCCCCACCCCCCCCCCCAGCTCCCCGCCCGGGGGGGGGAGAGGAGAAGAAGCTTTATTTCACTATGTGAAGTTACATGACTTCATTGAGCTCCATCAACAACTAGCTGTTCCCCCAAAATAACTAAAAAATAAAAATAAAAAGGGGAAAAACGAGCCAACGTGTAAAAGGGACAAAAACAACCCGCTATTACCACCTAAAAAAACAAAACAATCTGTTATCGCTCACTCCCCTGCAGTTCAAAGAAAGCTTAAAACCTTGCCTCCTGATTGAAGTAATAGTGTGATATAAAAGAAATAACAGATTGTAGTGACAAATGTTGAGATTTACTTTCTAGCTAGCAAGAATGTTAGATACGATTTACCTAATAAAATAACTCACAAAAATAACAACCTATAATATGAGAACTTCAAGATGTGTTCATCTACCTTTTTTCACATTTAATAAAGAAATCTAATCCCAAATGCTTCTAAGTCCAAACAAAACAAAAGACAGCCGGCAAGTTAAGTCTTCTAGCTAATATGGAAAAACAGTTGGGCTAAAATAACAGTCATGCTGATAATCTAAGCCCATCTCTTCCAGCAGAGTTCAACACTGTGAAGCTATTGCTCTTTCGCATCTTCTTTAAATATAAGGCAACTCTAGTATTAACACATATTCCATGTATTTCCATCCTCCTTGAATATAAGGTAACGATAGTATTAAGACTATTTTTTATCATGCTTTTACCAAAGAACGTGCCAAGCACAATCTGATACTTGAACTGATGGGCGTTCATATCCTTGCAGTTTTCTAATATACTCAGAGAGGTTTAGTGTAGCTATTGGAGGATAAACTCAATTGAAAGCTGGGGAAGGACCTGAACAATATGGCCCTATTAACGGAACCAAATATCATTGTGCATTCATTATTTTAATATTTTAATTTACACGTAGAGACACTCAGAAACTCACCCCAATACCTCAAATCAGAATTTGCTCGACCAGTAAGGTTAAAGTCGGTAACTCTACATATCCAAAAGGACATCAATGCTAGTTAAAATCATAATCAAGATGAAACATAACAAAGAGCTACTAAATCAAAGCAACAAATACAACAACAAGAAATACAATCAACAGGGATCCCATGACAGCATTGTTCTCCAACAACAACCAAATCTTTGCATGAATTGTTAAACAAGAGATCCCCTCAATAACTTCATCAAGTCTTCTTCCTCTACACCACCCCATTTCATTTCAGAGGACTCCAACTACGAACCAAAAATAAAAGCCAAGACATATATAAAACAATAAATAAAAACTATAAACTGGAAAGATTACCAGCATCACCGTGAAGGGTTAAGACCCATGAGCAATTGCTGCCCACCAGGAAGGTAGGATACATTAGGCGACTTGGCTAAAGTGGAAGCCACCTCCCTGGAAGCCTCAATCCTCCTAAGCTCAATAAGCCCCGTACCAGCAGCCGCTGTTGCATCTGAAATTAGCTTAGCAGATTCACTCTCTCCCTCAGCTCTAATAATGGCAGCCCTTCTTTCCTGCTCCGCCTTCATCACCACGAACTTGGACCTTTCTGCCTCTTGTTGGGCCACCTGCTTCTGCTCCACGGCCCTTGAAAACTCAAAACCATATGACAAATGCGTAATTGCGACCTGTGTAGATATCAGAAATCAATATATGAATTGCATTCTCCGACTAATATCAACCCAAACAGAATTTGGATCAAAATCGAATAACCAAACATACATCATCAAGAACTATGTTGAAGTCCTTAGCTCGCCGGACCAAACTCTCGCGAACAAAAGCCGAGACCTGGGGACGCTCCGTCAGGAGCTGATCAGCATTGAATTGAGCAACCACTGCTTTCAATACTTCATTTCCAATTGAAGGAAGAACCTTCTCGTCATACTCGAGACCAAGATTCTGGATTATCACTGGGAGGCGAGAGGTTTCGGGACGAGAGAGGACACGGAGGGTTAGGTTGACCATCTGCAAGTCCTTGGTTCCAGAGACTGAAGAGAAGGTGTGAGGGCGTGTGCGAATGTCGAAAATGTAAGGCTTCTGGACCCAAGGGATGAGGAAATGGGTTCCCTCGCCGACTGTTTCGTCAAGAATGCCCCGAAAACGGTCGAAGAGAACGGCACGTTGGCCGCCATCGACGGTGTAGAGGCTGGAATTAAGGACGGTAGCAGCGGCACCGAGACCGAAGGCGGCGCGTGCAATGTTCGTGAGGAATGAAACAGCTGCTTGGCTACCCATTCGATGGAGATAGCCCTGTTAGCGATGTTTGAAGAAGAAGGGAGTAACTTTGCAAGCGTCAGTGAGGGTTTTACTTCGTCTGCTATTTGCAGCAAAACCCCAGTCTCGCTTGCAAGAGAGGGCAACGCTTTTTTTTTTCATTCAGAAGCAAGGCTTTGAGTAGGCTTGCCCGGAACGAAAATGGGCTTTAACCGTCCGAACTTTATTATGATGATCTCAAACCCCGATAAAAAATGAAGGTTGTGTTAGATCTTTGATAGCCAACATAAAACTTTGTCCTGAACTTTGTTTTTCCATTTTCGGCCTTCAACTGTTGGTCGGAGGGAAAATGCTGGACCTTAAATTCTAATTCGTGTCTCCAACAGAAGCCCAATAACTTCTAAGCCTAAAACAATTAATCATATTTGTACTTTAAAAACAGATTTATGTATGATCTTTTACATGAATGTTTAATTTACTTATAAATTAACAGCCTTTCTATTTAAATACTTTTCCTGTTCTTAATATAAAACATATTTAACTAATTTGATTAGATTAAGGAAGTTAGGTAAGTTAGTTAATTATAAGAAAAATAACACATTTTTCCTAAAGCATCATAATCATCTTTCTTAATTCTCATTCTTCCTTTTTTATTTGATTATGATTGAGGAAGTATCTATAGGGGTAATTTAGAAAAAAAATTGATAAATATAAAAAATGGATCTTATATTTAGAACTAAAACTAATTCAAAAATCGGGTTCTCTATTAAGGACCAGAAGAGTATTACTCTTTTTAAACTTATATATAAATATTTGTATATTTTAATCATAATCGAGTTTATTGCATCAATTGCTCTTGAACAATTCAATTGTCAATCCAATTGTGAAAATCTTGAAAAATACTATCTCTAGTCATTACTATAAAAGCTATTTTGATTTTTAATTTAATTTTAAATATAAGACTCCAATCTATTTTTTTCTAATATTTAACTATTTTTTCAAAATAATCTTATAGTAGTCGCATATGTTAAATAATTCATCAAATGATAATTCTAGTTAATATACATTATTAGTAAAAGTATTCTAGGGAAGACAATATATATTTATTACATATAACTAACTTAATAAACTTTCTTAATATATTTAAATTAGTCAACTAGTTTTTATATTAAGGATCCAAGTTAGTACATTGGCTGTATGTGATGCAGGTGGAAATTGAAACAAAGACAGCACATTAACTATGTTCATTGCATTTTCTCCTCGTTGCAGTTCCAAACTGTTCAAACATAGAATTTAACGGTGTACTTCATGCATATTTGTTTTCCTACCTTTTATGATTAATTTTAACAGTAGTAACATTTTTTGTTTGCTTTCTCACGAAGAACTGACGACTTGATGCAATCCGAAAATATTAACTTTTGCCATTTGATTTGATCAAGGGTTCTCCTATCAAGGTTTAGAGTGCAAAAAGTTTTCGTTTCTCCTAACAAATACGCTTTTTAAGATTTAAACTTATATTCTTTTCTTTATGAGGTGAGGTCCTTACCTCATCAGCTAATAGCTTGTTAATAGAAATATTAATTATATGCATAAGATGACTAAGAAATTAAATAGAATTTTTTATTAGAAGTTAGTTAAGCAATATTGTACTCCTGATCTTGTTCTTAATACAAGATACAATTATTGAGTTGATCTTGATCATAAATACAAAATCTATTTATCACTTTTATTTTTTTCTAAATTATTTCTATTAATACTCCCTCAACCATAATCGAGTAGGAGAGGAAGAAAGATATTGAGAAAGATAATTATGACATTTTAGAAAAAAACAGGTCATATTTTTTATAATTAACTAACTTGCCTAACTTTTTTAATTTAATAAAATTAATTAAATAAATCTTACATTAAGAACTAAAAGACTATAATCAAATTGTTCATCATAGTTTCGCCCAAGGGTCTGGGATTACGATAAACAAGTAAAACCCAACGCACATCATAAATCTGGCTCTTAAGAAGGTCAACACATGACAATGCAACTCGATGTCTTTATATTGATGGGGATCAGAAACAAGTGAGATATTAGGTGTGTTTAGATAAGCGGCTGCAAAAGTGATTTTTATTATCATCTGATTTTTGCAAACGTAAACTAGGGTAAAAGTCTATTATTATAATGTGATTTATGTTTGAATTGATATTTATAAAAATGCCAATTTGACAAGTTGAAACTATTTGGATAATTAGTAAAAAAATAAGTTTACTATAAAATGACTGAAAAAGACATCAATTTTATTTAATAATATATGTTTATATTTTATGTTTATAATGTGATAATTGTTAGAGAATAATTAAAATTAAAATTATAAAAATAAACATAATTATTATCGAGAAAATTTTGAAAATACATTTTAGTTAATTAAATATATTTAATTAATGGATATACATGAATATAAATTTAGTGAAATTGAAAATTTTTCAACTACATAATTTTCTAGTTAAAAATGACGTAGTTAAATATTTTGTTTTATGTTAATTTCATTTCATTTATTTTATTTTTTTCCTTTGATTTAGTTCTCTTTTTAATCCTCCATTAGGTACATCAATTGTGAATTTAGATCTAAGACGCAGCATAAGGAAGGAACACATGCGATAGCAATGCTCTTCCCCAAACCCTCCATTCACATCTTGATTGACTGGGTTTCTTCACTGTTTTCTTTAGATGGAGATCGCAAGCTGGAAAAGAGGGTGGAGGGAGTGAAAGCTTTTGGTCTTCTTCTCAAGAAGGCGGGCTTGATGAACTGCACAAGGGCACTAGCGGCAGGGGTTAGTTTATACGACTGGACCTTCTTCTTTAAGCGCAACTTAGAGAGAGGGGGGTCGCTACGCACTACTGTGATTCTTCTTCTTCAGCTTCGATGAGCTTGGACGTGTGAAGGAGAAGAGAGAAAAGGGACAAATCTGGGTTTGCAAATGCACATAATGGCAGATTAGCCTTTGCAACGCCCACCATAACCTCTCCCCACATTTGCCGGCACCATGCTTTTTCTCCAAAAGCGATATGGAGAAAAAGCCAATCCAAAGAAGTTTTTATTTTCAGATGAACCGCCAACCCACATTTCACATTTCACATTTTCCCAAGCATTTTTGGGGTTTTCTACGGAGATCCAAACTCACCTAGAATACAAGATTCACTACCAACTTATCCAAATTTGTCCCATGCAAAAATTATGTTGATAATAATGTTATACTAATAAGATATATCCATTTTTAATATAGTATTCACAGGTAATTTTCAAGGCTTCAAATATTCTTTATTGTCCTTAAAATAAAAATTAGTTGGGGTTTGCTTTGATCTTAAACGTAACATCTTAATTTACTTTTTTTCATATTTTTTTTATTTTTTCAAACTGATTTACATAGCTTATAAAATAATATATAATATAATGGGGTTTTAGGTATTTTAAAAAGATCATGTCATCTTTATTATAATTAACTAATTGATTTAAATTTATCCAAATTACTCCTCCGGTTCTAAATATACACACACTAGTGTGTATAAAGGTCATATATTTAAGACCGGAGGAGCAGTTGATTAGCTATTATATTAAAGAGCCACGGATGTACTATAAGTGTTAAAAGCAGTTTACAATTAATACTTCACGAGTATAGATAGATAATTTTGGTATGCACATGAATAGCTTTTATTTTTAAAAATAGTTCCTTAATCCACAACTGTGAATTTAGCATCATTCTCAAAATTTACAACTACGTACAATGCCCAAATTTCGTGGTTCACTCGTTTTTTGCATTCTTTTATTTAAGTCAGAGTAACATACAATTTTGAATATTCCAAAACAAAAATCTCAACCTAATTGCTCTCATGATTCTCCACTCTTCCTTCATCCATTTGTTATTTTCATCACGCTCCAGCCAAGCTATCGATTAGGTGATGCTTGATCCTAATTCTTATTTATATTGCCATGGCTACTACCACAACTTTTGCATCGGCATGAACTTAAACATCGAAGCTTACGCTTCAGTGAAAAAGTGAAAATATATTAACAAGAATTAATTTTAAATTTATTATTGAACTCACAATAATTTTTTTTAAAACAAGACCAATAATCTAACCATTAACTAATTCCACAGCAAAAGTTTAGTACAATGCACAGAGTAAACAATTACCTTGTGACATGGGCAATGCCCATTTGAAACATTGATTTTGTGCAATTGCACTCTCTTCTAAATTTTTCTTGATCAACAATGTCCTACAAAGAACACAATAATGAAATCATTAAGACAATGAGTCTAAGGGGTGTTTGGGTGATGACCCAAACCATGGTTTGGGGAAAATCACCCAAACACCATAAAAAATAAAAAAACCAAAATCATGGTTTTGGTCAAAACCATGATTTTGGCAGGAGCAAAAATTTTCTGCTTTTGGAGGAAAAAGAGAGAGTGTGAGGGCCTATGGGATATGTGTCTTGTTTTTTTTTTTTTTAGCCTAGATGGATATACCCTTCCCAATTATTCATCTTAGGGGTGAGCAAATAGCCCATAACCCGCTAGCCCGCCCATAACCCAATAATTTTTTGCCCATTAAAGCCCGCCCTATTAGCCCAAATAGAAGATAATAAACGGGCTGACTTAAATGGGCGGGACAACCCATTAAACAAGACGGGCTATGGGCAAGGCTTCGGGCTGCCCATACCCGCCCATTTAAGTTTTATTTTCTTTAAAAAATATTTTTATTCTTTAGAGTTTAGACCTAGCTTCAACAGCTGCCTTTCATTCAAGCTTTCAGCATCGCCTATATGATGAGTATGCAATTAATGTCAAACCTTCTGATGATGATGCATTAACATCCCAGCAATCATTGCAGCAAGTGGATTCTGTTGCTAGTGGTGATGTGGTTAGTGAGTTAGTTCCTAATGTTGAAGAGGCTATTGAAGATGACCCTACCTACCAAAGCGTATATTAATATATATATATATATATATATGAATAAACGGGCATGGACTAGCCTATAATCCGGTAGCAGCCCGTTTTAATATATATAAATGTAGAGGCAAACAAAACATATATTAATATATATATA